TAGAAACATGCACGCAGCTATAATATACTGTAGAATGTAGTAGACATATAAAAGGGAGGACTCTGAGAGCAGAGACAGCTGGAGATTAATTATTATTGAAGTGATCTATGAAGCCCTTTCAGAGGCTAGGGTAGAGATTTTGTTTTTGGGTTCTGGACTTATAAAGACAAGAAGCCAAATAGTGTAAAAATTGTAAAGAGATTTTTCTGTACCATATTTTGAAGTGAATAAGAAAATCCATCAGAATGGCAAAATATAGTTGATTCTTGAACAACGTGGGGATTAGGGGTACCGACTGCCATACAGTTCAGAATACATGTACAAGTTTTGCCTCCCCCAAAACTTAACTACCAATACTCTGATGTTGACTGGAAGCCTTTTCAATAACATAAACAGTTGATTAACACATATTTGTATGTTATGTGTATTACGTACTGTAGTCTTATAATAAAGTAAGCTAGGGAAAAAAATATTATTAAGAAAATCATAAGGAGGAGAAAATACATTTGCAGTGTTGCACTGTATTTATTAAAAAAAAAAAAAAAACCCTGCATATAAGTGGACCTGCACACTTCAAAGCCATGTTGTTCAAAAGTCAACTATATTGGATTTGGGCAAAATGTGTAATATGAGTATCATATTGTACATAAAGGCACGAATTTTGGTGCCAGACCTGTGTTCAAATTCTAACTTTCACCTTCTAGTTTGGGAGTTTGGAAGGAGATTTAACCTCTGTGCATCTCATTTCCTGATCTAAAAAATGGGAGTGATAATATCTGCCTCACTGGATTGAAAGTGGTAATGTGTATGTCTTAGCCAGGAACCTCTTGGAAATGAAGTATAAGTGGAGGATTAAACTGATAATACTTTACTTGGGTGGTTCAAGCCCAGGGCAGAGAGGGTGAGGAAAAGTGGAAAGTGAAATGTTATAGTTTGAAACAGACTCTGGATGCCATGATTTGGTGCAGGACTATATTGGAGAGCATTTAGAGAATAACATCTGTAAGGTAGTGGAGAAGTTGAACTGTATCAGAAGTGTCAGCCAATCTGAGAAAACTCAGGATTTGGATGGGACTTTAGAGTGGACCCAAAATTGAGAAAGAGACTGGGCCTATGTATTCCCTCAATCACCAGTCATTGGATGCCAGCTGGAGGGAGAGAGTGACCAAATCTGAGGCGGGGCACCTGATTTTCCCAGTGGCCTGCAGCTGTAAGCTGTCAGCTGCCAACACTCATGCACTGGTCCTGTAGGGAGCAATGCAATATGATGAGCGCCCGCAGCCCTGGCCACCACTTCATATCGAGTCCCACAGCGACTCAGCAAGGTCCAGCGGGTAGGCGCTGTGTTATCCATCAGCCACACGGGTTTGCCAGGAGAACTCTCAGCAGTGCATGAAGGACATAAAGAAGGGAAATTTATGTGCATGGCTCTCTTCTGTCTCTCATTTCCCACCAGTCAAGGGTCACCCATACCTCCATGCCCTTTAGAAAACCAGATTCCTTGCTTTGCATCATGGAATTACTTCCCTAAAATGCACACTAACCAGGAGAGTAAAAAGATGAGATCCCCAAGGGAATTTGAGAAAGTATAAAAGATTGGTATCCAATCGAGTAGGTAAAGCCAGTAGCCTAGAACATAGCCTGGAGTGAACATTCAGTATATAGCTAACATTTATGTAGTAGCTTTGTATGTGCCAGCCCTACCCTGAGTATTTTATGTAGATTCATGTTTTTGTTCTTCACAATAGCTTATTGAAGAAGAAACTAATACTAATATATTTACATTTTGTAGGTGAGTATACTGAGACTCAGATATTAAACAGCCAGTAAATAGCACAACAGAGTTTATAACCAGGTGTCATTTCAGAGCCTATGCTATGAACCACTCTCCTGGATTGCTTCCAAATGGCTATTTTATTTTTATTATTGCTATCAATAATAATATATCATAATTAGAATATGTAAATTTTTTATAATCATAAATATCATTAGCAAAATATACTCATGTAAAGCTTTACAAAAGTTTCAGAAATGTTTACCTTCATTTTTAAAGTATCATAAAACATTTTATATATATGAAAAGTGATGTAGGAAGTCTGGGGAATCACCTAAGTTTCTTTAGCTGTATAGTAAAAAGTAGGATCATAAAAAAAAAGAAAATATATGTAATTCATTCAGTAAAAAACACCTTCTGCATAGCATTTCTTGCATCAGGATGACTATAGCTTGATCTGCAATTAGAGAATCTGTAAATCTAAGGACTCTAATTCCATTTCTGCCATTAACTGATTTCTTATTCATGGTGTGTCATTTTATTTCTTTATGTGTTTCCATATTTGTAAAATAAGGTAATCAGTAACACCTACCCCATATATATCACAGGATTGTTTTTTAAGGATAGAAATAAGACCATATATATACTTGAAATGAGAAAAAATATTGAAAACAACCAGGAAATATTTGGGGGAAAATTTAATTGTTTTGAAAGTGCTGAGTTAAAAAATATCCCTGGATGAAAAACTCATAATTTTTTAATTTTAGAAAGAAACCTAGTGATGAAGATCACTACAAAAACTTGTACATCAGGGATAAAAATTTATTCAGCTCTTCCTACTTGGTCATTAAACAAAGACTATTTGACATGAACATAACTGTGATGTTCAATATATCTGTACACTCTCAAGTATGGCAATAAATCAGGAACATAAGATTGATTTCTTTCAAAAATTGTACAAGTTTATTAAATTAATTACTTTTGTGTTTTGAGATTACCCAAGATTAGGTTTTCTAGTGTTTTGTCAAATTTCTTGGATTTATTTTTAGGGCTTCACAGCTCCTTCTGGGTTTACTGTGTGTTTTCGTTACATACTAGAAACTGACATTCTTTTACATGTCTATCAGTTTTAGCTTTCCTTGTCAAGCTTCCTGAGTACATGCTGTTTTCATTTTACATTTCCATATCCAGAAGATGGACTTTTTTTACTACATCAAATAATCCACACTTTTGATTTTGTATCCAAGTGCTAATACTTCTTTGCACCTTACCTGTTCATGTATTTGTTCAATTTGTTCAATTATATTGGGCCTTTTTTCTTTCCTATGTAAGATCTCATCTCATTCATTAAATCATTTATAGAGCACAAACTTCTTTGTAGATTTTTTTTTTATTTTTGTGATTGCTCGGAAAATTACTGTGCTTATCTTTGGAATGACATAAAATTGGATACACGCATATCTGAGTAATTATTCTTGTAGTGGCAGTTCATTGGTTATTTTAAATTATCTTAAAGACTTATAAGAGGAATTATAGAAGAAATATTTTTTACATAATATTAAAATTAAAGATGAAAATTAATAATGTATTTAGTTTTTTATGTAACGTGATTGTTATTTTTCCTGGTTAAAAAAAAAAGAATTCTCATTTATTCATACGTAACTGCCTTGAAATTTGTACCTTAAGGACAAAGAAAGGTCACCAATCCTTCTAACTCCTGGTTCTTTGTCAAAAATGGACACAGTTAATGAGGTTTGTTTGGTACAGAACAAATTCTCAGACACAGATAGAGATCCTTTCAATGGAAACAAATTTGTTTGGCTTTACCAGGTTACTTAGCGATTAATAATAGCCTTGAGATGCAGGTCAGAAAGGTCATTGTACCAGCTTGCCAACACAATCTAAATGTGCTGCTAGCCCAGTTCTGGAGGCACAGAAGCCCCCAAAATACTATGCATAAAGTAAAACAGGCTATTTTCTGACTCCTTTTTTCATATTAATAAGCAATTTTCAAGAGAAGGGTGGCAAAATGAAGGCCATGCCACTCCAAGTAATTCATTTATTTTGCAATTTAATCTTATGTTGAAAAAAATTGCTCTGCTGCAGTAGCGTAGTGTGGTGATTTTTAAACGTCAGTGTGTTTCATAAGTAACCTTGTATGAAGTATTGTATTAGTGGCCTTTAACAGAAAATTGCAACAAAAATATTTCTAGACATTGAAGTAGAAATGAGAATCGTTTTTTTGTTTTGTTTTGTTTTTTAATTTCTGGAACATTTCCCCCTACTCTCCCTTGACATCCTTGAGGTAGATGTTCAGATGGTTTGCTTAAAATTTTACTTCACGAACTGGATACTAAGTTATATGCCTACTTTTTAAAAAGAATAAAGCATACTTTCAAAATATTATTTTTAACACAACTAGTTAAATATGTTCTATGAAAAGAAAGGATTTATTTTTTTCCATATTTGATAATATCTTAACCTGTTTATGGGGTGTTTTTCACATAGTGTGTTTGAAATGTTTATTTTTTTTGCTTAAATGTCTTAGGTATACATTCACATAAATGATGCAATTTTCATTATTTTGAAGAATTTATTATTCCTAGAAAGCCAGGAACTTACTCACCTAATTTAACTTTTACTTTAATTACCCATATAATTGAACAAAATAGCCTTTCAGGTGCAGGATAATATACATAATCATGTTGGTATTATTTGAACTGTCACCTGCAATAAACTTACAGTAAATTAAGCATATGTATAAAAACCTTTAAAATCACACTTTAAAATCAGCCTATTAGTATGCAAATCCAATGATCAGAGATTTATACATGCAGAATCAGAATTTAAAGCAAATCAGTGGCTCAGACATTTTCTTGGGATATTTAGGTAAGTCCAAAATAGTTCATCGTCACCCGAAGAAAGTGATAACGTAGTAGCTCACTTGCTTTGCATATGATATCTTTCCTTAGCCATTGAATTCATTATAACATTATAACAAGATATCTGATTTAAAAAATTTAACCACCAAAAAATCACTTTTAAATGCTTTTTAAAGATTGCAAAGACTCAGTGGAATGTGCAGGTAAGATAGATTACGCCACTGATTTTGATGGATGTGGATGATGGTAGCCCCTCAAAAGCTTCCTTGGTTATCACCAGAGGAAGAATGAAAATGTTAGCAGATTTTTAGTATCATAAATAACTGTGGATTGTGTTGATGCAGGGAGGCGCTGGAGGAGTTTGCAGACATGAAAGAAAGAGAAGAGAAGAAGGCCGACCTCGAAAGGGAAGAGAAGAAAAGAGATTACGAAGCCCGAAAGATGCATTACCTCCTCAGCACAAAGCAGGTTGGTGGACCTGTCCCTGACAGCTCCCGTAAACCACTTGGGCCCTTAGCCTGACAGAGATAAAGTAGCAGGCTGAATGGGACATGACTTGTTGAAAAGATATCACAAAGACACTACTTCGAGTTCAATTTCGTGCTTCTGTGTAGGTGCGTGCAGGCACCATGACCGTCTGTGACAGCCGCTTCATGGAGGCAGCCGCTGGGACACGGGCAGAGAGGTCCCAGTCAGCAGTGCGGTCTGCCACTGTGATAACACACCGCCAAGGGCATAACCTCGCTTGTAAAACCCATTCTGAGTGGCTGGTTGTCGTTTTGCGAATCGATCAAGAACTGGGAAGTTATTAAACCGGGGAAGCTTTCATGTTTTCTTTTGCTAATGTTGAGCTAATGTTGAGATTAAAAGCATTCTTGCACCCTTTCTAAATGTTGATGCAAGTTTTCAAGTAAAGCTTTGAACAAAACTGCTTCAGCATTTATATCATCATATTGAGATACAAATGTGGAATTTGCAATTCTTAGAATTATTTTCTTAGAAATGGTAAAATTGTATTGCCTCAGATCTCATCATAGTTGCTAAGAAAAAATACATTGCATGTAGAATATTCTGCTCCCAAAGAAGTGTGGTTAAAAAAAACATAGGAATTTGGGGGTTGAGATGTTTTGTTACTTGAGCTTTAGGCAGGAAACCGGCAATCTGTGGGTTTACACTCCTTCTCATAGATTGTCAAGAACAGTCTCATGTTGCAGCCAGAGAGACACACATTCAAAGGCCTCGGACATGGGCAAGTCAAGTCCATGGTGGTGGCTGGTGGAGGGTGTATCTGAGACTGAATGTCATGCTGGAGGCATCCAAATTCAAAAACCCTGGGCCGCCTGGGTGGCTCAGTTGGTTGAGCATCTGACTTCCGCTCAGATCATGATCTCACCATTCCCAAGTTCCAGCACCGCATCGGGCTCTGTTCTGAGAGCTCAGAGCCTGGAGCCTTCTTCACATTCTGTGTCTCCCTCTGTCTCTGCCCCTCCCCAACTTGTGCTTTCTCTGTCTCTTTCTTTCTCTCTCTCAAAAGTTAATAAACATTAAAAAAAAAAAAAAAAGAAAGAAAGAAACATTAAGTCCTGGACTGGCCGTGTACATTCAGAACAGAGAACTGTACCTCTAGCCTCGATCTGATAGTCTAATTAGCAGTACTTTTCAGTAATGATGACTATCTTTATATTTACTTGGATTTGTATAGCTGAGTTAGCTTTATTTAACAGGCAAGAAAACTGAAACTGAGAGACAATTATGTTTATAGACACAAAACGAGTAGTAATAGATCTGGTACTCAAACTGAGGTCTTTAGACTCTAATTCCTTAGGCAAAGTGCGTCTGGGTGGCTCAGTCAGTTAAGCGTCTGACTTCGGCTCAGGTCATGATCACACGGTTCATGGGTTTGAGGCCCGCGTTGGGCTCTGTGCTGACAGCTCAGAGCCTGGAGCCTGCTTCAGATTCTGTGTCTTCCCCTCTCTCTTACCCTCCCCTGCTCACGCTGTCTCTCTCTCTCAGAAATAAATAAAACATTAAAAAATAAATAAAATAAATACTTAGCCAATAAAAATAATTTTTAAAAAAGTCAAGGTATTTTCAGTTTTGATTATAAATCCATAACAATGAAAAATTTTATCTGTATGATTGGTGGACTATATTTTTTAAGTGTAGACTCACAAATCATGAATTATTTATTAGTAATTTCAATATTGATGAAACTAAAGGAGTTATAAATATATACATTAATTCTTGAAACCTGATATAACTATTGGGTACAGTTGTTTATTTTGATAGCTCTAAACCCCTTTTATGCTTTGAATTTTTCTTAATCTGAGGTCTAGTTGTGTTTTTCATACTTAAAACGGGTAGTGTAATAGCAAAAATAATTTTTGAAATGGTGAAATCAGACTTAATGGAAACTTTGTTAATTCTCTTTTATCTAGGGTTATTTAGATATCGAGTACATAGTGGAATATTTTACAAAGTCCATAAAGACTTAGTTGTTTTACTAACAAAAATAACATAGCAAATATCCATGGAGTACTTACCACATAACAGAGAGTATGATTGATACTTTATATGCATTATTTCTTTAACTATTTTGATTTCATTTCACTTTTAAAATTAAGCACCTGGTTTAACAAAGTATTTCACAAACTTGACCATGTGACTTGACTCCTGGACCTTAATGAATTTTTAATATGACTATTATATTTTAAGTATGTTAATGTTGATAAATGCAAACTGTCATTGCTCTAGACCATTTGTCTTCTTATTTATACCTTATGGAGTGCTGGTAATAGCTACATATATAAACTTTAGTTTAGTGATCCCTTGTCTCCAGAAATCTTAGCATCCAATAGAATGATTTTTTTTTTCATGCACTGTGGTGTAGTAGAAAGAGTAAGTACTGACATCAGTCTCCAAGCTCTCCCACTTAGGGTAACATATTAGGAGATTATCTGGAATTGTCTATTTCACTCTGCATTTGAAAGAACATTATGAGGATTGAATGTAATATATTTAAAATACTACCTGGTAAATAATAAGGATCATATTATTAGAATCTAACCTATCGAGAATAAACAAAGTATCTACACTTTCATTTTCTTCTGTCTTCCTAGCAGTCAGAAACATTCATGTTCTCATTTCTTTGCTTTGCTTTCCTTTAGTGATTAATAAAAATTAGTTAGAAATATTTATAATGATCTTCCCTCAACACCCTCTTCCTGCATTTTATATCTGAACCTAAACAAAGATGTGCAACACTAACGTTAATAAACATATTGAAGTTTATCAATTATTTCAAATAACATATTATTGAGTATCTATAATCTAAGACATATAAATGTATCTGTAGGATCCTTAACCACAAGGAGCATTCACTTTGATTTCAGTCTAATGCCAAACAATTTTTGTACTAGAAAGAAATTGACACCGTTCAATTACAGTTTACATAGCTAGTCTTATTGAAATTAACAACCATTTATATTTATGATTTTCTGATTCCATTTATTAACAAAAATCTTACTTTCCCTAAACTAAGGAAGGCTTAGAAAATTGAAGGCACATGTTTCAATGTAGGTATTATTACTGATTTTCTCAGCATGACTTGGCTATTGGGGAGAAATTAAGCTACAAGTTTCAAAACATCCTGAGATGTTTATGGCTTAATTGCTTACTTTAAGGGTTTTGATTTCAAATTGTATTAAGTTCACATTTAAGCAAAAAATAAAAGCCAAATATGAATTGAGTATTTTTAAATGCTTGTGTTAGTATTAACCCTTAATTTGTGCAGTTATTTGAAAATTTACTGAATAAATGCTCAAGTGTAAATAATTTTTAAAAGAAGTGTATCAGGACAGGAAAAGTTTCGATGATGTATTTAAAAGGAATGATGCTAAAAAAAATTAAAAATAAAAGGACTGATGCTAGTAGCCTTTTTAGAACTATTTTATTAGTGATTTCATAATTTAGGACTGATTTATAATGATATATAATGATAGCTTATAGAATACTAATTTTCATATTAAATTTTCATAGGTCTAATATACCTTCACTTAGATGAGTAGAAATAAAACATTAATTCAGACAAAGAATGCTTTAGAAAAGGTAAGGCATTTTCTAAGCCAAAATTGTATTTGTGAATTCATATATAGATAATAAATGAAGGCATGTGTTATTTAATGTATTAATAGTTTCGGAGACTATTATGCTGATAACCTAGTTTCAAAGTCTATGTTAGTATAAATCTAATGCATATCTTAAAATAGTTTTAAAATCTATCTTGATTTTTACTGATATTAAGTATCTCATCTTTATGCAGGCAAATATGTTAGCACTAATAGGAATTACACAAGTAAATAACTAATATTGCAATGAGTGAATTAATAGACCCCTCAGGGTTTTATTAATTAAAAAGTTCAAGTCATATTAAAGCACCTTTTGTATATGTTTATTTCAATCAGAAAGCTGAACATGGTAACTTATTTGCATAAATAATCAATCACCATTTACTAGTAGTAATAAGGTTAATTTGTTGCTACAGACATAATAGGATTAGTCAATTATATTTCCCAGAAAATACTATTTGTTATGCACCCCATCACCTGTAAAACAGGATTGGGTTTAGCGCCCTCATTAAATGAACACATCAAAAAAATCTTTGTCCCTGTAAAGTTTTATAAAAAGAAAGCTAATTTTAGTTGATTTGAATAAGTAAAATGCAAGCATTGCTTCCATTTGTAAACTTAATTTATCTTTCTGCAAAGATTGATTATTTAATAAAGTTATTTATTTTGATTCAGTAACCAGTCAAACTGAATCTAACACATATAGGACATATTTCCTTTGAAGAAAATCTCATTTGCAGATTTGTTTTATTCCAAATAAACTGACTTTCATTCCCTGTCCTTGTTCTTGGGTAATAAATTATGTTGTCTGCTCCACCTACTGGTAGATACATGCAAAGGCCTATTGTTGGATTCGTTAGAAGATACTGCCTCAAAGATGTTGCCTGAATTTGTACAGATTCTTCTGGAAAACAACAGTTACAGATACAAATAGAAAAATCAAGACCCACATCATAAATAGTTAATGTTTCAAAATATGGGTTATTGTATAAAATTATATACATTGTTTCCTGATCAGTGAAAAATAAAACCCTGTTTTTTATTTCAATATGCCAATAGAAATGGAAAGGTACAAAATATATTCATAATTAAGTATATTATAACTGTATATGTTTTTATAAACAATGGCTTTTCATAGTTTATACATATTCAAGTTAAAACTAAAATGAAAATTTATTAATTAAATAGAATTTGTATACCTTTTACAGAAATAATTTTCATTTCATCATTTATATAGTAGGTTATCAATGTTTTTTCTCCAATGGCTAGTGGAAATTTTTAAATGGACACCGACGTAATGATTTTCAGTTATTTAGGATTCTTTAAAAAGATGCCATGCTC